TTAAAAAGCTCAAGCAAATAAAAAATTCATACATAGAAAATTCAGAACTTAAAGCTGGTGCTCTGCTACTGCTGATTTAGTCGAGCGGCTTCTGCACGAGAGGAAGGAAACCGCTCATTAATAATGAGTCAGGGTGGAAATTGTGTCTGAACTGAATGCTCTGATGAGCACCTGAGCCACAGTGAAGTTCAGAGGTTGCTTTTAATCTAACTCTGCTGAATCTGCCTGTCCAGGGTAAAGGTTTGGAGTCCTCATGAAAACAGGATGGAAAGATATCTGTATGTCCCTTTAACAAAGTCCTGCACTCCAGTACTCTGCAGAAATATAAATTAAAGGAATAGATGAGGTGCTGAGGTTATCCTGCAGACATAAATAAACTATCTGCTTTCTGTCTAACTTAATGTTTAAATGCACTTTGTTTCTGCTGCTGAGTGAGAACAACGATGAGAGAAAAATGTATTTCCCCACATCAAAGCCTCTTCAGCCCAGCTATCAATCTGAAGGATGAGGGATTTTAAACTGGGCTGATCCTTCACTCCTTTCCATCATCCGCTGTGCTTATTCCTGTCATCCTCCTGTAAACAGGGACTCAAGCGTTCTTCATTAATGAGCTTTAGAGCAGCTGGAAGGCAGATTTTGTTGCCTTTGGACTCAGAAAGCCTTCTTGTTTCTGGTGTTTATGTAAAGCTTAGCTAACCGGATACTGATACTACATCATATTTACCTGAGAAAGATGATCCTGCCCTGTGCAAATAAAACATTTAGACATTTTTTCGTTTCCTTTTAAGGATGTAAGCACCTTCATCTGGAGTTTGTTTTAGTAGAATAGAGGATGAATGGGACAGATCCCCTTTAAACATAAATAATAATGAAAGGAGGGAAGCCTTGTGGTTATAGTTCAGCTTTTAATACTTACGCTCTTTATTTACATCTTAAATAAGCCACTGTCAGATTTTTTTCTGGAGATGAAGGAGTCCATCTTGGATCTCCTGACCGTGCACATTAAGACACCAGAAAGAAATCCACCACCACAGACGAGAGGGTGAGTTTCAGAGTGATTGGAGGAGTGAGAGAGAGAGAGAGAGAGCACTTTCTATTTATAACCTGTGTGCCCGGAGAGGAGAGAGACTGTTGTTGGAAAGCACACTCCTGCTTTGTGTTTGTTCTGCAGCACACAGGCTGCAGCTCAAAGGACAAAGCGCTATGGATGCAAAGGTAAATGCATCACATACAATTGATAAACGGTGGGAGGTGAGACGGGTCATTACGGAGAAAATTAATTACTTTTTGAAAACCAGATGATAGGACGATCAGGACTGGTTTGTTAAATCCTCCATAGGAACTATAGCTTTCAGCCCCCTCAACGCCTACATGCAAACAAATTAGCAGAATGGACCTAATGCTGCTGAGAGTTTGAATCCCTGCAATCTCAGATTCTCTGGGTACGTTCTGCCTTACTAAAGGTCCGAGTTTATGAAGACAAAAAAGATCAAGAAAATCTACACAATAAGATATCAAACATGCAGACTAAATATGCATGGGTGCAGGATAACTTTTCACTAAAATATTTTCCAGCTATTTAGTCATGTTGCCTTCTCTATAGGAGTTTAAACAGCATGACTGTACAGGATGGCACAGTAGAACATACTGATGAAAAAACGACGGGTGAATTTCTGCACGGATTCAGAGCTGTGAAAAGTTCAGGCAGCTCCAGCCTGATGAGAATTCTCATTCATTATTCAAATATTGTGAAAGGTAACATGCATGCTGTGGCTCTTAAAACTCTGCTGTACTCCAGCTCCTTCTAAGAGCATGGTCGTTAGGTTAAGATGTCTGTAGATGTGAATGTATGCCTATATTAACGAGGATCAGGGTGTGTCCTGCCTCCTACAAACGGACTGCTGCAGGTAGAAACCTGCAGCGAGCCTGCAAAGGTCCCGGCAGGTGAGAAAAAATGACGAATATACAGAAATTTGAAGCATGTAAATTCAAGGCAGCATTATGTTGGAGAAATAAGCACCTGTGACATTGTTGCTTAACATTATGGTAATATATATTATTTATTTTCTATAATGGCAAAACTCACCACTCAAGATTAGCTTTAGCACCCAACCGCTAAAATTCATAATTTTAATAAATTATTTATAAAACCCACAGAGTAAAATATTTTAACAAGACAAATGAAAACATGATTGAAGCAGCTCAGAGAGCAAGTAGTAGAGTGCAGTGAAAATGCTTCAATAAAAACATTAAGAAAAAATAACACATTTAGTCAGGAAATAAAATCATGAATGCTCATACCATCGTAAATGATTATATTTTCAGAAGTGATTCAAAAACCGGAGGCTAATTTACCTGCTTGACCTTTAAAGCTCAGCAAAATGGTTAAATATATCAGTTTAAGCCAAGTTTTCATGACACTGTTAATATATAAATCCACTAAATATTGTGTCCAATATGTTCTGTTGCGAAATGTGAAATAACTGAACTACTTCTCAGAACAAGTTTTGATTGGCAGCGAATCATTTGAAAACATGTGCTGACAAGGTTCTTCTCACTATTGGGCAGAAGCCTCAACTCGCCTACATTCTGCATGATATATATTCTTATTGATTCAAAACGAGAGGCTCAAATGATGTGTCCTCTCTGAGGGAAAATAGTTTGGCATGTTTTAAAAATGCATCATATGAGAAGAACGTCTCCGTAATTCTTTCTGACCCTTTTTTCTTTCCATCTGTATATTTTATGCTGTGACTCATTAAAGCCCTCAGTTTAGCTCCTTTTTGTTAAAATTCTCTCTTTATAAGAATCCAAAGTAGAGTAAAAGATTGTATTGGAAGCCTAATGCTCATACTTCTCTATAATGAACCAAAGTAGCCTCTAGATAGTCATCAAGCATCTGGGTCTAGTATATGGAAGCAGAGCCCAGATGATAGAGCAGGGATATCAGGAAGCTCATGAGCGGCTCTGAGGCGATAAATCCAAACCTTTTTACCCCTGATGAAGTTTTATATTCAGACAAAGCTCCTTTTAAAGTAGAAGTATTATTAAAGAAAATGAACGCCATCGCTATGATTACATTTAAATACAGACCAGCTCTTTGTTTCTAGCCTCCTACACAAACTTATTTTGTAACTTTATGAACCTGCTGGCCGTAGTTAGATGCACCGTTATTTCCACCACCTGTGGGCGGGCCTATAAATAGAGCAGGTTTTTATCCTCACCTCAGTGTGAGGTCTTTTTCTGACACTCAGGCACTCGTTAGCAAGTCTTTCCATTGCGAAGGAGATATTTGAAGATCTTCCGTCCTTGTATTTGTGTTTTAGCACAAAAGCTTAATGATATCCACTGTAGGGTTTTCATTTTATCAGCAAAAGAAAAGCTCACAGATGGATGAGCAACCTCCAGAATTGATGTTAAATCTGCAGAATTAGGAGCTGCTGATCTCTGGACTCTTCCAAGAAATTAATGCTTGCTATGATTAAGTCTAATAAGTCTTTTATTTTTTTAAGATGCGCTTAATAAATAAAATAGATTACAATGTCTCCAGCTGGGGGGGGGCAAAATAAATATGAATATGAATAAGGACAAAAGGTGTTCAAAATTTGAAAAAGTACTTTCATTTAATAGTGTCAAAAATTGTTAACACAGGCTCAAAAGCAATACAAAATAACTTAAATAATGAATAATATGGATCTCGGCCCAACTTAACTGAGGTCAACTGAGGAACCAACTCAAACAAAGAAACTGACCTGCAAACAAAGAACTAAAGGCTGCTTAAATAGGGATGGAGTAACCCAAGTCTACCACATGAGGGAGGCATGACATACCAGAAGAACCAATAAATACAAAATTAACTTAAGCATTCTATGAAACAAATGAAGCAAAACTAACTTTTACTTAGAAGAAACAATAAAAAGTGAGTATTTAAGTGACAAAATTCACCAATTGAAAACAACTTGGAGCAGGTCTCCGCCGTCAGTCTTTCAAAAAGCAAATGGTATGCTCCAGGTTTCCTCCTAAAGCTGGTTTGTATCAGCAGCACCTCAAACAAAAGTGCAAATAAATAAACCATTCAAACAGACATTAACTAAAGTGTGCATCCATTAGAAAATACCTGTCTAAAAGAAATAACCACCTTAAACATAAACTGTAATATATTATAAAGCAAGAAAACAATACTAACATTATGTGGTGGGAGCATCATCCATCACACTGCTGTTGCTGCATTAAGACCTTTTTTGGTATATTTCAACAGAAAATGCTGAACTTTTACGCTTTAATTTTAAACTCGTTTCATGACTTCTTTATTAATGCTGCTACTATCATTGATCAGAAGGTTTTCAATACATTTCAATAACTTTTTTTATCCCCAAGGGGCAATGTAAGAAGAGAAAATCCCTTATTGTCCCCCAGTGGTGAAATTGTGGTGTCACAGCACCAAAAGATCATAGAAAAGTGGTCGCTCAAATGTGGACGTTAAAAAGTTTATAAAGATAACAGAATAAGGGACATAAATAAGCAAAAAATACTGTACTGTACAGTCTTTTTATAATATAAATACTTTGCATCTGGAGAATAAATAACCAATTTACCGCAGTGGACTTTTTTTTAAAGTAATGGATATGTGCAAATAGCAGAAACGCCAAAATGACAGCAGCATTTTATTTAAGTGATTTAATGGCACACAAGTAGAAAAGCAAGGAACTCTCTAGATAAATATATAGATATGTTTGAATGTGCAAAGTGCTGTGCAGGTGTTAGTAGGTAAAGCTAAAAAGCAGCAGTGCAGCAGGAGGTAATAGTTGGGCTGGGAGGGTCAGCTGGCCCCGGGTCAAAGAGTGCTGAGTGTTAGAAGAGGAACAGCCCTTAGAAATAATATGTCATGTTGTGTGTTCAACCATAGATTTTAGATGTGAATCTAAAAGCTATAATCTGTAACAGATCTTCTGACGGTGAGATTTATGTGAGTAAATCCTTTCTTCTTTGTTTCTCTGCAGCGTCAGACAACAGCCAGCGGTTTCAGGAGACGTGTTTCGCCTTCGCGTTGACGCCGCAGCAGGTCCAGCAGATCAGCAGCTCTATGTAAGGACACCGATATGGAATAATCCACAAACACATAAGGCTATCATGATAATAATCATCACCTTTCTTCAAAGGGACATCTCGGGGACCAAATGTGACTTCTCGGTTCAGGTTCAGCTCCGGTTTTGTCTGTCGGAGACGAGCTGTCCTCAGGAAGACCATTTCCCCTCCAATCTTTGTGTCAAAGTCAACGGGAAGCCATGCAACTTGCCGGTGAGGAGTTCTGGTTGACTTGGCATCAGCAAACATGAAAGATTTGATGTTTTACTGGGAGTCTGAGGTTTCTCTCTGATTTTCAGGGTTATCTTCCTCCAACCAAAAATGGCGTCGAGCCTAAGCGGCTGAGCCGGCCGATCAACATTACCTCACTCGTCAGATTGTCCACTACAGTCCCAAACACCATCGTGGTTTCGTGGACGGCAGAGATTGGGAGGGTAGGAGCTAAACACGTCTGTTTTTCTTCTTGACATTTCATATTATTACATTAAAAAGATTTGGCCAACAAGAGTGAGCAGAGGTGGATAATCGAGCTCCAGATCTGGAGAGTAAAAAGCCTGGACAGATATTAGTTCCAAGTGTTTGCATTTCCAGCAGCTGATCACCGGGTAAACCAACAGGATGAAGGAAAACTAGGCAGGGTTCGGATTATCCACCTCTGATTTAAACTCGTCACAATTTCTCCCACTAACTTTGTATGTTTTTTTTAAATTCCTTTAGACTTTTATCGTTTAATTAGCTTTCTATGAATTTAATCAACAAGCACTTCTCTGTTTACGTCCATAATCAAGGCATCACCTGCTTAATGAAGTGAAACAAATGAGTTTGTTATATCCCAGTTTTACTGAAAACGCCTCTGAAAATTCATTCTGAATTTTTTCAGACAAATATGCTTTCTGTCTGTTCAGATCAGGTATTATTATACATCATTGTTGATTCAGATACAGAGTTCCTCTATTCTTACCTGGCTTTAAAATCTGTCCTCTGTGATCTGATCTTATTTTGCAAGCCCAAATCTGTAGACCCACTGCCAGATTTTATTTATTTATTTTTTTAGCCAGATTTGGCAAAAAAATAAATAAATAAATAAAACCCCACTGGGATTAGCAGTGGGGTTAATCTGCACCAGTTGGGGACAGTGGGTGTGGCTGGCTTGGTTAGTGAAATCCTAGTGTTAAAGATGCAAATCTGCAAATGTATGAAGTTCATAGATCTGACTCAGTCAAACAGTATTTATTACTAATTATCTGTGCAGCCAATTCAGGAAGTAATTACCAAACAGCTGCAAAGATATGTTCCAAGCAGCCAATAAAAACAGAGTTTGGGCATCTCTTTTTATTCAAATTACTCTAAGAAAGCAATTACAATTAAAAATTAATAGCAAATATAAAAATTTTACATTAGAATCCGAATTAGTTTAGTATTTTAGCAGAAAAACAATAAATTTCTTGTTCTTTCTTTACTTACGGTGAAATTATTCCCCAACATTTAGCTTAATCCCAGGGAGCAGGGCACTGTGGAATACTTTGGGGCCCTTGCTCAGGGACCCAGAGTGGTGGTCAGTGGGATTTAGAGCTTAGAGACTTTCCAGGACGAAAGCTCCATGCCCCAAACACCAGACCACCACTCTCGTTATGTTCAGACCGTAGAGAGCAGCAACATTCAGAAATCTCAAAACTCATAAATGCTGTTTTAATTTGTGTCTGCAGAATTACTCCATGGCTGTTTACTTGGTGAAGCAGCAGTCATCCACGGTGCTGCTGCAGAGACTGCGAGCAAAAGGCATCAGAAACCCTGACCACTCCAGAGCTCTCAGTAAGAACTGCCAGGCCTTTTCTTTGCAGGATAACTGATCCGAGAAGCTGGAATGCTTTAGGGCTAAAACTGTCCTGATTCAGAGCTACACCCAGCTCTGAAGATGAAGAGCTGCAAATGATCTATTCTCTATATTTAATCACAAGTGGTGGAAAGAAAAGACAACTGAGAGTTTTGTTTTGTAGTGTTGTCTGTATTTTCAAGGGGATTTAAATAAGAAATTCACTTTTTAGACAACTAATTAGAGCTGCTGTTCTTCTGCATTGTTGTAGCAGAACGTCTGAACCCTCTGATGGGTTTCAGATCCAAACCAATGATAATAGAAATCTGAAATCATACCCACACTTATTCATATGTTGCATTTTTACATTTAAGAAGATTGTTATCCTTTTCATGCACAAATGGACTCCTTTACTCTGAAAGTTTACCCCGACCAGAGCCAGAAATGTTGCATCACAGTTAAGGGACTCCTACCTGGAAATGCACATGCTTGGACATAAAAAGGTTTTTACTTAAATATAGATTGAAAATAAGCTGAAAAGGAAATTAAAGGATTCAGTTTAATCATAAAAAATACTAGTATTTGCAGAAAAACACAAGAGGAGAGTCTTCTCATTGCAATTGGATTCAGAAATAAACTAAACAACCTCACACTTCTCTTCTACATTACTATAATTGAGTCTTTCAAACACAAACAGTTTATGGGCGCTCTTTCTTCTCTCTACGTCTGATCTCGCTCCCATTGCATCCTTATCCCCAGTCCATGAAAAGAAAACTCATCTTTAAGGTGTCCAGTTCCAGATAGCTTTTCCACAAAAGCAAAGACTGGGTGTCCAGAGAGCTCTATACTAACAGGGAAACACAGTGGTGGCAGCATAGTGCTTCTATACATGGATATGAGTGGTTTAGCAAAGATATTGACATTAGGAACAAGTCCCTGTCAGGTTGAACTCAAAATATTCTGAAGAATACAGGCAAGCTGAGAATGAAAATAATTTTTATTTTTAGTTATCACGGTGATTCAATGGATGTTTCCACATGGATTAGAAGAGGCTGTCCAGAGAAAAAAAAATCAGAGATTTTAAAAAATGCAGATCTAGATTCCAAGGAAAAATCTGACAGATAATGTTTGAGTTAACGCTAAGAAAGCTTTGGACAAAAGATAACCTCCCAATGTTACTCCAACCAAAGAGGAATTGGTGCTAAACTGGGTTGAAAAAGGTCAATTTTCAACAGTTTAATGTATCTGGAAAAACCTGGCCGTTTTACAGGTGTGCATAATATATGAAAGTCCCTTTATATCTGCTCCTAGTTTTTTTTTATATTTAGTGCATTTTTAGCTCAGAACCTTTTGAAATATGCAACAGATTCTTGCAAACCCATCAACAAGTCTACCAGGGACAGTTTAAAGTTATTTACAGATCCTTTCCAATGAGGTCAAACTTATGAAAAAAAAAAAAAATAATTGAAGAAGATATGACAATTTGAATGCTGGCACTCTGCATAGAACGTAAAGAAGAAATCCAGTTTCAAAGATTCTTTAGAACCAACCCTGTGAGCCAGCTGGGTGGTAACAGAAGCTGCTCATTTGAATGCCTTTGCATGTAGGTGATGGTCATGTAATTAATATATCATGAAATAGATCTATTTCTCTATATTCATACAAACAGTGAACTATATGCATTCATTACACACAGACTGATATGTTCAAAATGCTTTTTTCTTTTAATTAGGTGATTAAAACTGACTATTGAAAACCCAAAATTTCAGTGTCTTAAAAATGCAGAATATTACTTTAGACCAATACAAAAAATGGATTTCTGGAAATATTGGCCAAGTGATGTATGAATGTATAGAACACTTAATATTACCTGGGGCTTCTTTTGCCTGGATTACTGCATCAGAGCGGAGTGACACAGTTTTGATCAGTCTTGAGGCTCTGCTCATGTGTTAGGAGGTGGCCTTCATTTCTTTTCCTTTGTAAGGTCTGGGGTATCCCATCCTTTTCTTTACATTACCCCATTTATTTTTTTATGGGGATAAGGTCAGGTGACGTCAGCAAGGAATAACCAATGGATCATTATTTATACCTAAAACTAATACGTTTGCAGTGATTTAATGAATTTAGCATTGATCAGTAAAATAAAAATAAAAATTTTCGTTGTGATCACGGAGTCTGGGAGCGGCCATTTTTGCCGAAATATAGTAACACCTCACTCCTGACATCTTCCAGCAGTGACGTCATGGTGCGGTAAGCCTAGCGCCATTCTCCCCACTTTACAAGCAAAATCAATGGGAGCTACTAGACACATCTGCAATCAACAACAATTATTGAAGATTTCCAGAGGACTTGACCATTGAAATTCACCAGAGCTATAGTTAAACTGACAATGCCCACGTGCATGGCAGTTGGATGTTGGAATACATCAGCTAAAAGTGAAAAAAAAAGAAGTGTTATTTCACCTTTCCGATTCATGATCCTCAACAAACGGAGTTGTCGTTGGATTGCCAACTTGAAGAGGGAGGATTTGCCATAAAACTTCTGGCCAGAGAAAAAACACCTAATATGTAGCCAACATTTGGAAGAATGTTTAAAGCTGGATAATAGTGCATTGTGACAAACACCAGATACAGCACTGGGACTTGATCAACAGCTGATAACGTGACGTCACAAACCAGTAGGTGGCAATAGTGTTCTTTGACAAACAAGAATGTCTCAAATGAAAATTACTCTTAATTAAAAAAATGTATCATTTATTGAACACTATGTAATAATTTCATATTTATTGATTCGGCACTGCATGCAGTTGCTTAGTCCTGTGGAAAAAATGAAATCTAAATCTCCATAAAGTTGTTCAGGAGCCAGGAGCATGAAGTGCTTTAAAACTTTCTGGTAGAAGGCTGCGTTGACCTTGGACCTGAAAACTGTGGACCAACCCTAGCAGAGGACATGGCACACCAAACCATCACTTACTATGGAAACTTTACACTGAACCTCAAGCAACATGGACTCTGTGCTTTCTTATCTTCCTTCAGACTCTGGGACCTTGACTTCCAAAGGAAATGCAACTTTAATTTCAGCAGGGAGTGTAACTTTGGACCACTCAGCATTAGTCCGGTCCTTTTTCTCTTGAGCCAGGGCAAGAACCTTCTGATGCCGTTTCTTTTTCAAGAGCAGCTTGACACAATGAATGAACGTCCTTGAAACACCGACTCAAGCTGCAGTCGTCTCCTTGTGCATCTCCCCCCACATTCTTGATGGGTTTTGTTTCCCAACTTTCTCCAGACTGTGGTTTGATTATTGCCTGTACACTTTCTTCTTACCACATCTTCTCCTTCCCTTTCTATTAATGTGCGTGGAACTCTGTGAACAGCCCTCCTCTTCAGCAATGACCTTCTGTGTCTTGCTCTCCTTGTACAAGCTGTCATTGATCATCTTTTGGACACCTGTCAACTCAGAAGTCCTGCTTATGATTGTGTAACCCCCAGAACTACACTGAGAGACCATGTAAAGGTTAATTAGCTGATTAGAGTGTGACACAATTTTCTAAGTTACTGAATTTTGATATTTTCATTAGTTGTCAGTTATCATCAAAATGAGAAGAAATTAACACTTTGATTCCATCAGTCTGCCTGCAATAAATAGTTATCACATTTCACGTTTTTGAATGGAAATACTGAAATAAATGAACTTTTTCATGATATTCTAACATAACCAGCACCCATAATTTGGCCATGCTTGTCAGCAGAGGCTTTATGTCAACTAACTGCACTATTGTTCTATGTAATTTTCAGAACTGTATCAGTGTTACATCTCTGCTTTGTACAATAAACATCCTTAAGATACCTAAATAAATTACACCACCACCATTTCACAGTAGCACATATAGACGCAAAATGTGAAAAACTGGCTAACAATGCTAATTATCAGCTGTCTAAGGTTTTTATCTCTGCATGTTTTTGGTGTCATGACAGCACTTTGGTCTGAAAGTAACATGTTTGATGAATTGATATTATTTTGGTAATCAGTCACTCAATAGGAGGGATGATTTGCTGACTGACAGCAGTTTGGGGGTTAGGGTTGAGTGTCTGATCAGGATGCAGTTATGAATGGATATGGGGATGTCATGTTTACACCTTCTAATAGGTGTTTGTTTATGAGCGACTGGCAATGCAGTAACTTGATCGGTCATGCCTGGGAGGAATTTGTTTTAACATCATCTATAGGATGAGTCCTACTTCTTTATTAAACTCCATAATGTTAAAGTTCTTTCAATTTGTTTCCTTAATTTGATGCCTCCTAAAATCTGTTGTTTTTGTTGAATTTCACCCCTGATTGGTCAAACACAGCTATCTTTTGTGCAAGTTAATTTTGCACCATTGTTGATGCATAATTGCTTAAAGTTTTTCTTAAGATTTTGATTTCTCTTTTGTTTATTGCAGCTGTTTAAAAAAATACTGAAAATTAATTTGGTAAATAAAGGAAATTAGACTGACAAATACAGAATAATTGAAAAACATTTGTGCTTAGGACCCCTAAATGACTAGCACTGCCTCTCATTATCAATGTCCTACATTTTTCCTTACTCCTCTGTTACGTCTACAGCTACATTAGTCACAGAAACTTTTTATGTCAAAGGAAGGGGTTTCTTCAGACAGACGTCCTTATCAATAATTAGGCTACAAGCTGTAAACAATAGAGATTGAGCAGGTGGTGTGTTGCAGAGAATGTGGAAATAAGAAGCATGCTCTGCACGCTGGAACAACTCCCAGTATGCTGAGGGGTAAAATTTATGCTTAGTTGAACAGTGCAGTACGATCCCCTAAAGCAGCGAATAAGTGCACTCATTACTTGTCTGATAGTATTTTTTGCAACCGAAAAGCAGCAGCAATTTGCAACAGCAGTGTGCAGATGGCAGATATGATATGGAGAAGATGTGGGCAGAGGAGAAAGAGAAGAGCGTTACAGTGTGTCGCTTTGTCGTCACTATTCACAGCAGTAGGTCTGTAATCTGAGCCTCTGCCGTGACCAGAGATTATTTCTCCTCTATTCAGGGCACCTCCAAACGCACTGTTAACCCAAAGAAAATGTGCAGCCCTAAAGACTCTAGGACTCAATGGTTTCCCATGCTCATGTCACAGAAAGCCTAACTGAATAAGTGGCCATGTGCTTCCTTCAGACGTGCAGCTTATTAGCTGACAGAACAAAGCAGTACAGCCAAACGAAGCCCAGATATGAAGATGCAGCTACCTGTAGAAACTCTAGGACAGGCCCAGTCTAAAGCCTGCCTTCACAAAACCTCTGAAACTGTCAGGTAGAGAACCAAGTCGTTTCTTCTTAACTTGCTCATTTTTAAAATAAAACGAAAATTGCTTTTTCTCAGAATTTGATGGTTGTCAATTTTTCCCCTCCCTTTATGATATGCCGCCTTGTTTGTACATTACTGATTGTACTTCAACTACTATTACTTTTTGCTCTAATATTTTACTTGTTGCAAATTCAGTATTTAGAGAAAACTTTAACATAGTATGTAAATATGTGGGAAATTTTCATTATTCAGAGTGTTTCTAGCTTTGATAAAACTCATCTGTCAACATAGGATTGCGTTTCCTTCCTAGGTTTGCTTACTGAGACTTTCTCCAGCTTTATGCTTATTGATTTAGGAAAATTGGTTTGATTTTGGTTCATCTTTCGTTGTTATATGATATAGGCATATATGTTATATGTTATAAGCATCCTATGACTTTAGATACGTTTTTTTTTGTTGTTTATTTAGGCAGTCAGTAACTGTTTTATAATGCATGGTAAGATTCAGGTGCATTATGAGGAGCTCCTGAACTCATTATCAGCTCTGACCTGATGCTCGCTGAGACTAAATCAGCACATCTGCAAAGAAGAGCTCCACCTGCCTGCTTCTCACAGTGCTGTTTTCCTTTCCCTCTTTCCTTCAGTCAAAGAGAAGCTGACAGCAGACCCCGACAGTGAAATAGCTACAACCAGCCTGCGCGTGTCGCTGCTCTGCCCGGTAATCACCTGTTATAAGCGTTATGTTGTATTTTAACCATCTAGTCAAGCTAACACATATATTGCCCAACATGTCTTTGACAACGTAACTCTCCCTAATCAGTGTTCTGCATTGTCATTTGGTTTTGGTATGTTTATCCTACTAAGGTGGCTAAACTAACCCCTGCTTTGTGTTTCCCTCTCCATTGCAGCTGGGGAAGATGAGGCTGATGATCCCATGCAGGGCGCTGACATGCTCCCATCTCCAATGCTTCGACGCAACGCTTTACATTCAGATGAATGAGAAGAAACCCACCTGGGTTTGTCCTGTCTGTGACAAGAAGGCCCCTTATGAGCACCTAATTATCGATGGGTAGGTCAGACAAACGTCCTGCAGCCCCTTGGTGTTTTCTGGAGGCGGATGAAATCCCTCCTTATTTATCCTTAATTTGCTTCCAAAGCTCCATATCACAGCATCTTTTCAAATATTTTTATATTTTTTTCTCTTGTTTTTTTTTTTTTTAAAGAGTTTTCTTTTGTTTGTTTTCCTTCACTTTCATGCAGTGTTTGAGCAGATAAATGATTGCATGAGGAGTTTTATTTTAGAAATGATTCTGGGTGTAAAATAGTGATGCTTAAAGACTAATAAAGAGATATGAATATCTAAAATGCCTTTATTTCTGACTTTAAATCAGGTTAAGTTTAATCAGTGTTAATGCTGGCTATAGTTTACACTCATCTGCTGTTTAGGCTAAATGGCTAGCCCTCCAGCAATCAGAAATCCTAGAAAATCCTCAGCAATGAAAGGTTGGTTCTACTGAGGTAAACCAATTAGGTTTTAAGGAATATAACTGTACTGAAAATGGAAGATTTAGATCCTGATAACTGAAACACGTTGCAGGTTGATATAGAAGAGTATTATGTCAGAAGGTTAGGGTATGAAATCACTGACTAATTATTATCATTTTGTCTAAAAGATCAAGTTTTCCATCCTTCTGTCCTTCCTTTCTTTCATAATTCCTATTCTTTTCTTGTTATTCCTTCCTTCCTTCCTTCCTTCCTTCCTTCCTTCCTTCCTTCCTTCCTTCCTTCCTTCCTTCCTTCCTTCCTTCCTTCCTTCCTTCCTTCCTTCCTTCCTTCCTTCCTTCCTTCCTTCCTTCCTTCCTATCTCTTCTCTCTCTTTCTTCCAATGTTGCCAATCAAATAATCTTGCATTGCTTTATTTTATCAATAATTCCCTCGCTTGTCTTTCCTCCCCTCCTTCCTTGTCTCCTTCTTTCTTTAGGTCCTTTGTTTCTTTTTGGGCTTCTTTTGTTTCCATTTTTAAAGCCCTACCATTATAAATAATTATCATTGATAAATTCCTAGCGAGCTTAATTCATTTATATTTTAAAATCGAAAAAAAAAAAAAAAATTAAAAATTGGAAGTTATGCAGCTTAAAAACAAGTAGAAGTAACAGTTATATTTTTTCTTTATAGTCTGACTTGGATGAGCCGTCTGCATGTGTGACTATGCAAAGGAAGCACTTATGAGTTTACCTGTAAATCCTCTGAATGAAGAAGTTTCCTGGAGAAAAGCTGGAACGTTTAAACAAAGAGGAACTTGCCTAGAAGACCTGCTCAACTTTTTGGGGGGTTCTGCACATAGTAGCTCAGCGACATGCCAAATGATACCGCTGTATTAGCAGAGCGTCTTGTCTTATCCAAGTGAAAGCCTCTGATGCACTTCAGTGATTCTGATTTAAGGCGTTCTGTTGACCCAAATCTTGTTTTGTTTTTTTTTTTATAAATCTGTATATTACAGTATCTTTCACTTACCGGTGGTGAGTCTGACATAGTGGAAAAATTGCAAATCTTCTTTTGCAAAGTAAGCTTGTATAAGCGATGAAAAAATACGTATATGCAAATATACAATAGGCATTCCCTGTTGGTCACATATTTTAATGTCTCATAGTGATTTTTTTGGGATCATTACTTCCGGTTTTAGAAATAAACTTGTCTTTGAAATAACCATTTCTTGTTATAATGTTCTATCTGTCAAACTCTTATGTTTGGTACTTGAACAAAGGGGGACAGAAAGGCTGCTGCTGCATACATATTAATGGCATCTCCATGCTCTTTGTTCTTTGCAGCAACAACAAAGACACAATTTGTTCAATATTTGCAGGAATTCTTTTTATCTGTTTTTTAAAGAAAACACTCTTGGTTATTTTTTAATTGCTTTTGTTTTTCTTCCTCTTTTAACTCCGTTTGTCCATTTTCTTTCCTTGATGTTGCAGCACAACGTGTTGTTTTTATCCGAAAAGGTTCTGGACAGAAAATTTTTTCTAAAAAGCATCGGAAGTCCAATGAGAAGGATTTAAAATATTATAGAAATATTGATCATGGTCACTACTAATGACAGGGACATTTAGCTGTAAAAAAAAAAAAGTGCATCAATTTGAAAGCTGTTTAGATTTAAGTTTATTTTTGCAGAATTTGATGTTTTCTGTGGCTCTGACTGTACCTTTCTGACAGCACCGGTGCTTAATGTCCAAGTTTTTCTGTTTAAATTAGTTTTAGTGAGAAGTCAACCGAGCTTTTTAACTGAGTCTTTGTTTAATTCAACCTTTGCCTGTTTGCTCCCAGACTTTTTGTAGAGATCCTCAACAGCTGCTCAGACTGCGATGAGATCCAGTTTAAGGAGGATGGCAGCTGGGCCCCCATGAGGTCTAAGAAGGAAGTGCAGGAGGTCTCCTCGGCTTCTCTTAACAACGGGCTGGATGGTGAGTTCATTGATGCTAACAGCAGCAGGAGGGCAGATTATCCAGTTTGAATGAAAAGTTGGTAAAAAGACAAAAAGAGCATAAAGTTGCACTCCTGCTGATGTGTTTTCACCATCTGTTCTGACGTGATGAGCTGCCTCTGGAGAAATAACAGCCAGCAGAGAAGATCCGTTTCCTTCACTTTGAAGTAGTAAGCCATAACGCAGACTGAGACAGCAGGGCTTCTCTGCAGGCTCCTGTCGGACATCCGAAGGCTCCGATCAGCACAGCTCCTCCTCCTCCAGCCACAGCGACAGCAGCAGCAGCAAAAAGGTGGAAGTGATCGACCTGACACTCGACAGCTCCTCGGACGAAGACGAACCAGATTCCCCGCCGCCTCCTCCTCCAGCGCTGCCTCCTCCAATCAAAAGAGCTTGTCCTTCCCTGTCCCCGACCTCGCCGCCAGTCATTAACAAAGGGTGAGGCGACGTCTGAAACCATAAATAAAATGTAACATTTATCTAATGAACACACAATGAAACATCTGCAGCTAAAAACTCAGTAAGGATGAAAACATAAGATGCTTCCCCAACGTATTGGGATAATAAAAGATTAGTTTACTTTTAAACAAACGAGCGTTTATAAAGAGTTGATCTGCCATCTCCCTGGACCTTAAAACAGCTGCATTTTTCTGCCAGATGAATATTTATGAGGCCTAAGAACATCTGCTGCCTCCTCTAGCTGTTGAACGCCGTATTTTTGGAGCTCAGTAGAGGAGGCAGGATGCTGACGTACCCTACAGACATAGCAGAAGCTAAAATGTCTCTGTTCACACGCTCTGCAGGGTGTTGAACCTACACCACCAGGCCTCCCCTGTCAGCCGCACCCCCAGCATGCCTGCCATGGACAACAGCTACATCCCCCCAGTCCCTCCACTCATCCAGGACTACAGACCCTACTACCACACCCCCAACGAGCTGTCAGGTAACTACCAGGCATCACAATCTACATCTCAAAAAGCTTCACCTGTTTAAAATATGTGACGGAAGCAGAAACTCTCATGAACTTTTCCACATTTAATTAGATGATAATCACCGTCGGTCAATTTAACTGAATAGACCAACATAAAATAGCTCATGATTAAAAGGAAAATGTTATAGGAAAATAGTATCAAAGCCATTCAAAGGGCTGTGCATTAGAAAAGGAAACAGGAAGGAACAGAAAAGTAGATTGCAGTGTCATAAATAAATAATAATTAGAGTCTAATTAAATGATAGGGATGATTATTAAAGATAAGTAAATAAAAAATGAATGGAATATGGACTATAAACTAGCACTGTCAAAGGCCCCTCTAAGCAGATGCATCTTTAGATAAGAATTTAAAACAACTGAGGGTTTTTTTTTAAGCTGTTTTACAGTTTTGTGGAATGTATCCCTTTTTTTTTTTTTCTCTTTCCCCTGCTTTTATTGTCATTACACGGTCACAAGTACAGAGCAATGAAATTCACTCTCTGCATTTAACCCATCGCCTTGGGGAGCAGTGGGCTGCCATTGTGCAGCGCCCAGGGAGCAGAGTGGGGTTAAGGGTCTTTGCTCAGAGACCCAGAGTGGCAGGCTGTGGGAGTGGGGCTGAAACTCAGAACCTCAGCATTCCAAGCTCTATTTCCTATCCACTAGGCCGCCACTCCCCTTAATCCAGATTAGTAGAGCATAATGACAATATGCTGCTTCTTCATGTTGGTTCTGGTTTTGTGTATGTGGAGGGGATCACAGCCAGAGGACCAGAGAGGTTAGGATGGACAGCAAGTCTGTGATGGATTTTGGTTTTTAGACTAACAGAAGTAAGAGACACAGAGCACTGGATGTGCTCCACTTTCTCAGCCTTAGTAAGGATGCAGGCAACGGGATTCTGGATCAGCTGCAGCCGTTTGTTCCACTTTTTAGGAAGACCTGAATTACAGACCAGCTCTAAACCCTGATTGGTGGTTTTCTAGCTATAATAACTGAAGCTGAACTTTGAACTTTTTGGTCCGGAAACCGTTACCTCAATTTAGCTTTTATTCATCTGACACATTTGGCAAATCCATGCATTGATTTCTTCTATGCATTTAGCCAGAGATTAAATTGGTTCATAGTCACCTGGTGACATCATAATATAGCTATGAGGATGGTTCCTATAATTATAGATGTTTTCCTTTTTTTTTTCTTTTTACAAACCTCGAACCTGTGATGCTTAATTCTTATTGTTTTTCTCCAGCCAAGACATGTTTATGTCACCATCTGCATCCTGTTTTTACCCGTGTTTAAAACTGTCTGTGCTTGTGCTTCGTTTCCAGAGTTGAACTTCTTCTCTTTTCTCCAAGGAGACAATCATCAGGTATGTTCAGCTTTAAGTCATATGGAAACAAACTGAGGAATTATAAAGGAAAATGAGTAAGGTGCTTTAAAATGTAATTGTGATGTTTTTAAAACCTGATTATAGACTGAATTTTATATAAAATGCTGCTTGTACTCAGTGTTCCCTTTTTTTCTTTTTTTTACTGCGAGTGGCTTTTAGGCTCTGCAAGCTAAATAAGGAGCCTTGAGAGCAAAACACTTGAGAAATAAAAGTGGTCTGGCGCTAAAGAAACATTAGGTGACTTACAGCTTCACTATTCTAGCATATTAGCATCACAGGTTTCTGCTAGAAGCCCAAAACTATCAGGATGTGTGGAATTTTACTCGCCTTTTAAGGAGAAATATCCAGAAACACGAAGCAGGTCAGAAAGGGGAACAAAACAGAAAGTAAACATTCCCAAGCTACAGAACAGGACAAAGAAATCAAACCCAAGGCTGTGCAGCCTTCCTATAGAGGAAGAACTACTCCATCACTCCTGGACTTCCCCAGTCAACATGCAATTAAAAACCTTTTCCTCAATGGTTGCACATGCAATCTTATGAAAATAGATTCTCAAGTTGAGCACCTCTTCCAGCTCCCCTCAGTTCATCATGGTTTCCATCTTTAGTCTTTAGATCCTCAGTTAAATCTGTATCATTAATTAAAGGCAGTCGGTTCGATCAGATCCTGTATTGAATAATATTTTTATCAGAAGTTTCAGAAAGCAGGAATAACCCATTCTGAATAGAGAGTTCAGTTTTGGGATATTTAAGATTCTCGGTTTCAGAACAGGTGATATCGGCCTGCTAACAGCCCAGAGTTTAGTCAAAGCACGAGCATAAAAGAAGCCGTCATTAATGGAACGCAGAAAACAATCCACCCTGGCTACAGGTAGAAATAAGAACGCTTAAAGAGGCATTATGGAGTTTTCTAATGATACTGCCACCTGTTGCTTAAGCACAAAACTGCAGTGTTCTTCTGCTTGTTCCCATAGCTTGCACTCATGTTTAAAAAGTTTGTTTTTGTTCTTTTTCACCTTAACCAGAGTTGCCATTAACATATGAGGTGCTTCTAAGTATCCACAGAATTCATCTTGAATATAACACTAACACAACAGTTAGGTAGGTTGGACCCATAATGCGCCAAACAGCACAGCAACGTCCGGCTCAAAGTAAATTCAGGAAAATAGCTTATAGTAAGATAGTATAGTAGCTCTTCAAGTTATGTTTTAGTTGTAAAGGGTAAAATAAAAAGGATATTTTCAAGATATTTTTGAGTAAAAACTTGCATCATCTCTCTTAAAGTGTGTATTTCTCATCAATAGAAAATATTAATGACACCAATATGTTGAATACTGTTGCTGGTGAAAACAGCAATAATCAACAACCTCTGAATTTGTATTAAAAATGCATCTAATTGCGTGAAGTGTAATAAACATTTGCTCTCCAAAATCTACAGGTTCTGTTTCTCGGCTTTTCTTGTGTCTGATCTAATCTTAAATGTGTGACAGACTCAGGATAACAACTAGAAATCAACCTTCCAACCAGAGTTAGTTCACAGAGAAACTTGATATAGACATGATTCAGGATAAGAGCTATCAGCTTTCTGAAACCATAAATCCAGGATGTTTGGGGATTTATCCAAGTTCTCACTTATCCTACTTCCTCCCCCCGCAGCATTACAACATGGTCATGGCAGCAGCAGCGGCTGCCTCAGCCTCAGACGACCACGAGCTCCTTCTGAACCGCTTCCTGCCCTACAGCACCTCCTCGTCAGCCTCCCAGCTGTTCCTTGACCAATCAGGTACCCCCTCAGCCCCCTCGCTGACGGCTCCCACCAACGGGGTGAGCAACACGGGCGGTGGCCTGGTGTCATCCAGTAGCCTTCGAGACACTCACTCCTCACTGTCGTCCTCACACGCGGCCTCTCACCCCTCACACACTCACCCCGGGGTGGTGGGCGGTCGAAGCAGCGCCGAGGCAGCGGTGGCAGCCATCTACGGCGGGATTCCTGACGTCATATCGCTGGACTGACCCCAAAGGGGTGTAAGCACTCCGGGCCCAGCTTCTGAATGCAGTAACAAACCTGACGCCATGCCGACCGCACGGTAACGTTTGAATCCAGAGATTAGACCGGCCCCCAGTCTTTGGAGCCACACGGTGGAAGCTGCTTGGAGGAGAGCACCAGACACCTGAGTGGGTAACATCTCTTTTAGGCTGCAGATGTAGACTTGGCGATGCTGATCCCAGATAAGGAATCAGTTTGGACCACTTTAGTTCTGGTACCAACTCGGCACAAACAGCAGAGATGCTGCCTGAGCTCAAACGCAAGGTTGGAAGGTTCTTCGTTTTTCTTTTTGTGAAAAAAACCCCAAGACGCAGCACCGTGTACAGAGAACAAAGTCTATTTTCCTCCTTTACTTTTGTATGTCAGGAACATTTTCCCAGCGGTGAGCTGCTTCTGTTGCTGTTTGCAGCTGGAGGAATGAATCATCTCCTCTTTCTAGCAGAAAACACCTGCTGCCATGTCCTCTCCTCTTTTTAAACTCCACCTTCGACCATAACCTGAGTTTTCCTCCTTTACTCTTCAAGCTCATTGTGTATTATTTCTCTAATAATGTTGGATTTACAGTTGAATCATATTGTAGTAGTTTTGATATTCTTTTAACTTATGTGTAATATTTAAACAGTGATATATGCATTCCCTTTGACTTTCAGGTTGATCTTCCTGTTTTATTTTCACTCCTTGTAAAGAATCTGCTGGCGTTCAACATTTAAACTATTTATTTTTGCCAATTTAGACATTTAGCTGAGCTGAGTTTTCCTTATTTTTTCTTTCCTTTTTTTTTTTTTTTTTGCACAATGCCAAAAAAAGTAGGTACAAATGAAAGTGATCTGAGTGCTGTTAAATGCCAGTGTTTTCTTTTTTTTCTTCTCCGTATTGGTCGTGCTGACTGTTAAAAAAGGAGCTCCCGCTGATGCTGCCGTAGCAACGTCAGGCGCCCACAGCATGCGACCAAGCTTTAACCAGTGCCTGTTTATGTGCGTTTGAGAAACTTTAAGGTCTTAAAATCTTCTCCTTCAACTTCCTCACGTCTCGACTGGCGTTCTCACCCATCTAGGAAGATCGTTTTTGGGCGACGTACTCGTGGGGCTGTCTCGAGAGCGTCTGCGTGTCTGTGCACGCACGGTTCGCTCGTGAATGTACATTTTTATTCGTCTTTATCCAAACTGTGTGGGAGCGCTCCTCAGATATGACCCCCCCTCCCCTCTGTCCTGTCATCCTTTAAGTGTTCCCAGTGTCTGCTGTTATGAGCGTCTCTTTGACATCTCTCTTCCATTCTCCGGAGACAGCCAGTGTCTAATTATCCCAGCGATGGTGAGATAATGAGCACTGACAGCAGCGACCATCACCTCACATCTCCCGTCCCATTCCTCGATAACTTCCTTGGCATTTCTAGCTTCATTCCCTGTTTTTCTCATGGGAACCAACTCCTGCCGCCCAAAAGGACTCCATCATCTGCTGGAACAAATTCTCCTTTAGTGTATTTTCTGTCTTTATCAGTATTTTATTTATTTTTTCTCTTTTTTATTAGTCCTCTTGTCTGTGTATCCTTTTTTTTTTTTGGTTTTTTGCTCGTTGGCTGAAAGAAAGTATGAGTCACTGTCATGTCGGAGCCGCTTGTGAAATAGATTTTATTTAATATGCGTTAAATGATCATTTGCCAGCAGCACGACTACTCAGAAAGGTGCTGTTGTGATGATTCTCCAGGGAAATAAATGCCACTGTGCATTTTCTCGGTAGCAGACTCTGGTAATCCTTTTAAATGAGGGCACAAAACGGATGCTTAATTAATTTGTGCATGATTAATTATTTCTTTGAGTGAATTATTTTAGTCTTCTGGAGTCCAGGAATGCAGGAATATAAGCCGCCTTCCTGAGAAATTAAGGCTGCAGAAGCAGGCGCCCTGCGGAGTTGTTTCTCAGGTTGACTCCTATCACTTTCAGCTGTTTAGAAGAACAACATCCAGAACAAAGGTGGTGAATATTAAACATTCCAGTAGGCATGTGCTGGTTTCCAGTTTCAAGGTTTCCAACTGTCCAAAACCACTGCTCCATCACACCTCTACTGCTGCTTAGTCATTTTAATTAGAAAGTGCAAACAATGTGTCTATTTGGAGCATAGAGCAAGCTGAGCACTGCCCGTCCGCTGGCTGAATGGAGGCTACTACGTTTCTGTTCTCTTATATAATGATAAACATAGGTATTTCTAGCTGCTTATAAAAGTAATATGTGTTTAAACTCTCCTCAAGCCCCTTAATGTCAACATTTTATTCTTCCATCAATATAAAACTTGCCAGAATGGTCATAAGCATTTTAAAAAGTAAAACTTTATTTATAAAACAATTCAATTTCAATTCAGTTTATTTCTATAGCGCCAATTCACAACACAAGTCATCTCAATGCACTTTCCAGTTCACCAGATCACACAGTCAGATTGATTCAAGGTTTTCTATCTAAGGAAAACCAGTTGATTGCATCGACTCATTGACTCAAATACAATCCCTCTCACTAAGCATGCTTGTAGCAACAGTGGAGAGGAAAAACTCCCTTTTAACAGGAAAAAACCTCCAGCAGAACCAGGCTCAGTGTGAGCGGCCATCTGCCGAGGCCGACTGGAGTTCAAGGAGACAGAAGCAGAGATACAAAAAGCAACACACTTATTCAATATTTTTTTGCTAGATCTTCTAAAGGCCAGAACCCACTGAATCTGATCTTGAGTCCGATCTGACAGAAAATCGTGCTGGATGAGGCCGTGGCGTTTAGCACTTATTGAAAGTAAATAAGTCAACACGATTTTACACAAGAGGAGCTTGCATTTCCGACTGAGATAGACCCCAGCTCTGTTTTAGTCGGACTATGCAGTAATTCAGCTGCAATTTTATAAGTCTGACAGGAAGAGAGACGCTTTTGGGGGAAAATACAAAATAAACGCTGGTTAACAATCTCCTCCAAAAAAAAAAAAAAAATGAATAACTTAAGGAGGAGAAAAAACAGCTATAGAAAAATTGTGATCCTCTTTGAGCCTCACAAAAAAAGAAAATAATGAGGTGCAGACAGAGCAGGTAAGTGCGACATATCTCACGCATCTTTATAAAAAAGAAAGAAAAACTCCCAGATCTCTCTCTGAGAATCGCCTCACTCCAACTGCGTTTATTACTGCTTTTTTCTTCTCTTCAGACATAGATCTCATTGTTTTAATATTGTCAGACTCGTTATGTGGGGCTTTGCTTTACAGAATGCTCCGCTCCGTTTTTTTTAATAGCGTTTCATCATCTGTCCAAATCAAATGTGGGAAATTGTTTAATTTGTGTATAGTACAGAGACAGAAGTGGAAAAAAAGTTAAACAGATCTGTCCACGCTGCCTTGTCGGAGCCTCTCTATACGCCGTCATTGTGACATGAAAAAAGTGGATCAGAGCTTAAAAAGTCTTACATAATCAGTGTGTTCTGGCCTTAAGGCTAAACGGGCCATTTTTATTATCATTTCTAGGACCTCCCCACTTTTTCTCAAACCTGCTGCATTAAATTCTATTCTTGTCTTCTACACCCTGGTGAAGGAGTTATGCATAATTTGTTTTCAAAGTCCAACACCTTTTCAAGAGATTTTATGCCGCATTGTAGTAGGTTGAGTAAGTGAAATATAAATTACTTTATGGTTAAAAAAAAAATGAGACTTTAATTGAGAAACATCAGACAAACCAAAACAAAGTTGCCTTCTGTCTAAAAAAGAAAGACACAAGAATAAAATTATCTATTTTGGCCATTCATGAAAACTAAACATAAGAAAAAAATTAAATTACAAATTATTATTCTTTACAAGTGGTAAATTCTCATCAAGGGTCATAAAGTAATATATTAAAAATAAAAAGATAATAGTTAACGGCTTATTGCACTTAAATGTGTATAATAAAAGAAATCCAGTTTTTGTTATTAAATGCATTAAAGGTATAGTGGAGGATGTTTTTTTTTCCAGGTGGATCATCAGAATAAGTGGTCCTCCTAATTGTCAATCATTCTGGTGATACAGGTGCTGGTCATAAAATTAGAATATCATGAAAAAGTAGATTGATTTCAGTAATTCCATTTAAAAAGTGAAACTTGTATATTATATTCATACATTACATACAAACTCATATATTTCAGATGTTTATTTTGTTTAATTTTGATGATTACAAATGACAACAAATGAAAATCTCAAATTCATCATATCAGAAAATTAGAATATTGTGAAAAGGTTCAAAATTGATGGCCCCTGGTGCCACACTCTAATCAGCTAATTAACTCAAACCACCTGCAAAAGCCTTTAAATGGTCTTTCAGTCTAGTTCTATAGGCTACACAATCATGGGGAAGACTGCTGACTTGACAGTTGTCCAAAGAAAACGACCATCGACACCTTGCACAAGGAGGGCAAGACACAAAAGGTCATCGCTAAAGAGGCTGGCTGTTCACAGAGCTCAGTGTCCAAGCACATTAATAGAGAGGCGAAGGGAAGGAAAAGATGTGGTCGAAAAAAGTGTACAAGCAAGAGAGATAACCGCACCCTGGAGAGGATTGTGAAACAAAACCCCTTCAAAAATGTGGGGGAGATTCACAAAGAGTGGACTGCAGCTGGAGTGAGTGCTTCAAGAACCACCACACACAGACGTATGAAAGACATGGGTTTCTGCTGTCGCATTCCTTGTGTCAAGCCACTCTTGAACCACAGACAGCGTCAGAAGCGTCTTGCCTGGGCTAAAGAGAAACAGGACTGGACTGCTGGTGAGTGGTCCAAAGTCATGTTCTCTGATGAAAGTAAATTTTGCATTTCCTTTGGAAATCAAGGTCCCAGAGTCTGGAGGAAAAGAAGAGAGGCACTTCATCCACGTTGCTTGAAGTCCAGTGTAAAGTTTCCACAGTCAGTGATGGTTTGGGGTGCCATGTCATCTGCTGGTGTTGGTCCATTGTGTTTTCTGAGGTCCAGGGTCAACGCAGCCACATACCAGGAAGTTTTAGAGCACTTCATGCTTCCTGCAGCTGACCAACTTTTTGGAGATGCAGATTTCATTTTCCAACAGGACTTGGCACCTGCACACAGTGCCAAAGCTACCAGTACCTGGTTGAAGGACCATGGTATCCCTGTTCTTAATTGGCCAGCAAACTCTCCTGACCTTAACCCCATAGAAAATCTATGGGGTATTGTGAAGAAGAAGATGCAATACACCAGACCCAACAATTCAGAAGAGCTAAAAGCCACTATTAGAGCAACCTGGGCTATCATAACACCTGAGCAGTGCCACAGACTGATCGACTCCATGCCACGCCGCATTGCTGCAGTAATACAGGCCAAAGGAGGCCCAACTAAATACTGAGTGCTGTACATGCTCATACTTTTCATGTTCATACTTTTCAGTTGGCCAACATTTCTATAAATCCTTTGTTTTTATTGGTCTTCAGTAATATTCTAATTTTCTGATATGATGAATTTGAGATTTTCATTTGTTGTCATTTGTAATCATCAAAATTAAACAAAATAAACATCTGAAACATATGAGTTTGTATGTAATGTATGAATATAATATACAAGTTTCACTTTTTAAATGGAATTACTGAAATCAATCTACTTTTTCATGATATTCTAATTTTATGACCAGCACCTGTATGTGTTCATATGTTTACGGAAGGCCGGTGGTGAGTCTGACATAGAGGAAAAATTGCAGATCTTCTTTTGGAAAGTAAGCTTGTATGAGTGATGCAAAAAGGAACTTTTAAACAGAGCGTGCACGAGGAGAAATGGGCTTGTGCACGCTCTTGCACGCGTTTAATAGGCGTTCCCTCTCAGGAGCGGGTACATGGTTGTGCATGTGCATTTTGAATGTGGAGAGGGCGGGTCTTTTCAAAAATTTGCAAAAATCCTCCACTATACCTTTAAATTAGCAGTTCAGGTTAAAATGTTATTTCTTCTATCAGGCTTTTAAGGGTACAGTTCAGCTGTCAAACTAGCAATTAATTTAAAATAAATTTTATATGACAGTAATGTTCACTGATGAACATATTTTCAGTGGGTTTCAGTCATTTTTTTTTTTTTTTTTTCAAATTAAAATGAGTGGTTAATTTATATGTTTTTAAACATATTTGTAAAATATGGCTAAAAACATTATATGTTGATCAGGATTACCCTAGAGTGAGACCAGCCCATGCCTACAGGCCTCACCTCCAGAAACTTTCTATCCATTTACCTCATTTTACCATCTGGCAACCAGCTGCAGATTTAGGGCTTTTTTTGTTCAGCAGTTATAAAAATATATTTAGAAGCTTTAAAAAAAAAAAAAAGCTCTGGCCTGCATTTAAATGTGACCTAATTAGCTGTTTATAGCAGGGTTCCTATATTTTGAACACTGCTGCGGCCAAAATGTCCGTCAGCGTCATCCCCCTTTTAATGAAAATCTCGTTTGATCATTTTAAATCTATCATGATACTGAAACTAAAATAACTTCTCCTAAATAAAACATTTTAAAACCAGCTTCACTGGCCTGGAAAACAAAGCTGCCTCTGCAGAGGTTTCCTCTGCTGCCTCCTGAGCTGCAGACAGCTTCATTCAGAACAGCAAGAAGTCCGTAAATCATTAACCGTTGATCCTTCAGCCTCATGCTTTTATCAAGAAGCGTTTACCAGATTTCATCTGCTCTGTTTGTTCCAGTAATAAGCCCCCCCACCCCCCCAGTGGTGGGATCCCTTGATGAGACGGGTCACTGTAACTGAAAGCGTTTGATTGCCGCTTATTTAACAGAAGCTTCTGTCGATGCTTGTCGTGCTACTGAATTCATGACGGAGATGGAGCACGAGAGCAAACCGTGTTGAATGTGTTTCTGTCAAAGTGTTCTAACGTTCTGTGTGGGATCACCAAAAACAAAACAGTCGCATCTCCTCCTGGTCTGTGTTACATGTTTGTTAGGTGGGAGAGTCGACGTGTTAAGGAGGACTTTTCTTCTTCTTCTTTTTTTGGCTCTTTGACAGTTAACTCTGGAAAAAGCAGCTCCACTCTGATCATCCTGACCTTAACTAAAAGGGAAAAAGTGTTTCTATTCTGTATGTTTGGAGCCCTGAAAACTGAGGTGTTTGATGTCCGCTTGTATGTTTCTTTGTGTGTGTCTTTACGGAGCAAAAGGAATAAAGTAATTTATATATTTTTTAGAAAACGAAAGCTGTAAAAGAAAAAAAAAAAAAAGACTGTGGCCAATAGTCTCACAGCAGAAATGCTCTCTTAAGACGGACTTGAGTCGACATCTGCACTCACTGCCTTATTAACAGGTTCCACAGCTCCAATCTGAGGGAATAAGACTTGTTTTAAAGAAATAAAGAGGCTTTTCATGGATGGAAAAGGAGACGGTGTACAGTTAGACCCATGTCAGTTTGTACAAATATACCAAGTGAAAAAAAATATTTATTACCTGCATTGAAAAAAAATTGTTTACTTATTGAATGTTACTTGTTTATGTAGAAATGTAGATGTAATAAAACGCATTCTGCTACATTTGAGTGTTTCCATTTATTTCTGCCGTTTCCTGTTAAAGCCTACTGCTCCGGTTGATACACTATCTGGAAAAGTGTGAATAAAATAAATGAAATCTGAAATCTTTGACTAGATTCTCCGTTTAGCTGCCTTACTGTTCTTCCTGTTCTTGCTTCCTTTCAATCCTTCCTTTTCATTCTTCCCTTCCTGTTTTGTGTCCATCCATCTCTTCTTGTCCTTTTTATTTACCCTTCTATCTCACCTGTAGTCCTTTCTCTCTTTAAGTTTTCACTTTTTTTTCTTCATGTCCTTCATTCCTCCTGTGTCTTCTTTCCTTACTGTTGCTTCCTTTCTATGCAATTTTTACTGGAGTTCTTCCATTTGATATTTGCAATTTATTTAGAATTTAGTCTTTTAAATGTTAAAAAAAGTCTAAATGATCTGAAGATGGAACAAGTTTGGAAGTCTGGCTGTTGTCCCCATCAGGGTGAGTGTCATGATGGGTTTCAGATGTTTTACCAACATGCAGAAATAACTCAGAGGCGGATTAAAAGTTTAACAGTTTATTGGAAGGGGATAACTCAAAGAGAACAAAAGGAGGATTCTTAGCTGGGGAATATCCAACGGACAGGTCAACCGGAAACACTAGAGATCAGAGTGGCGAGTTCAAGGTCCGTAGGAATTTTCAGGTCTAAGCTTAAACCAAGGCAGGGAAGTACTCACAGAAGTAGACTTGAGGTTGCTCCTTGATTCCTGTTTATGGGGACTTTACAGACTTGGTGATACTTGGCTGGAGGGCAGACAGGTTGTGGTCGAGAGGAGCAGTGGAGTGGAATGTCAACAAGTTTTCCTGAAGTGGACAGCTAACAGGAGCGGTGAATGTTTTCCTTGAATCTCAGGGAGACAAATTATTCCTTCCAATGCTTGAAGGACCAGGCTTATCCAGTAGATCAGGAAGTTATCCTGCCGGAGACCACAAAGGAGGCAAAGGATTAGAACCCTGGGCAAAGAGAGACAAAAACTCAGAAGGTTGGACACAGCTAATCTCAGTGAGGCTAGAGTACGCAATACTGGCAAACACTCTGGCGTCGAGGTGGTGACAGTCCGATGCTCATATACTCCTCTGGTGCTGACCCAACGAGTCGCAGGTGTGGGTGGAAAACCAGAAGAGGCCCTCCAGGCCAACAGGGGAAAAGGGCACCATCTAGTGGATGGATGGAGACAAAAAAGGAAAACACAAAACATCTCCCACAAACAGAAACCCTAATGCTGTGTCCACACCGGACACAGCAGGCGCGACAGAAGCAGCAAGTTTACATGCAAAGTCAATGGTTGACGCGCGTCAAGGCGCAGCAAAAGGTCCCGCAGCGCATTTTGAGCAGCAGGCGCAGCGTGTCCAAGCATCTGAAGGAGTGTGTTGGGCGCGTTTAAGCATCTGATGCACGTGGCTCGCCGCAAACGCGCTGCTGCTCGAGATGGAAAAATTGAACTTTTGCTGCTCGACGCACCGCGTCAACCAATCAGAGAAGCTGATCTGGGAGCTGGCAGGGAGAGAGACACAGCGCTGATGACACAGAGCGCTGTGATCACTCCTCTGAAACAGTTTATTGACACATAAATTAACTTAAAATGCAGAAATCTGCCGGCAGAATATGCCCGCTTTTATTATCCTGGTGCCTGCAGATCGGATTATTTAGATGAAAAACACCTACCAGCTGCCATGGTGAACCGCGAGAAGGCGACCCGGCCAGAGGCTGCTGATGAAGGGATTCCTACTGACAGCGCCGCTGGTATGTGGGGGTCTGAGCGGCTCCGACAGAAATAATATTGGAAGGCAGGATGATAATCTGAATGAACTGACTGCACTGATTACGTTTTCAAGTGGATTTTCTCACTTAAAAACATATTAAAACTACTTTATTCCAACTGATCACAGCAAATATAGCTGCAAGGCAAAGAAAGGATAGAGTAGCTCCGCCCAACGCGCATCAGACACACTTGTATGGCAAGCGTCAGAACTAACTGGTACAAGCAGCAAAAATGAAGCAGCAGACGCGATTTTGCTGCTTTTGCTGCGTCCGGTCTGAACGTAGCTTAACAGTCATCTCTTTAGACCCCTACAATAGCTCTGAATGGTAACTAAAAGTTAGATTGAGAACCTACAAATCCCATATTATAACTAATACCATTCTTAGAAGCTTAAGTGGGGTTCTAAAAGAGTATTTCATTTACATGTTCATAAGTGAATGACATCAAAATAACCAGAGATTTTCTTTTAGATCTACTTTCCTGTCACTGATTAGGAAATTTTCATTTTACATTAAATAATATGCTATAGAAGAAACTCTCTGCTTCACCTTTATGAACATTTTCATGGTTTTTCCCCATATTTTAAAGGCTAGAAATACAAAAGAACGCAGGTTGTTTGAAATACCAACATATTAGCTACAGCAGATATTAAAATGTAAAATGGTTTTAAGTGAGGTTTGATGTCAGTCGGCCACTAGGTGGCAGCAATGAGTCGCTGATGAAGTTTCAGCCTAGTTGGATGAATCAAACTCCTTGACGCATCCGCTCTGCCTTTTAACAGCTTTAGACTCGCGATATTTAATAATGTTGTATTAGTTATAAGTAAAAACGATTATTTATGGGTGATTTGAGTGTAAATGGAGAAATAAAAACTGTTCTCCTTTGCGCTTGGTCTATCCACTGCGTCCTGCTCTCCATCCTCACCCCACCCATGCTCTCCATGAGAGGCGGAGGGTGGAGCTGTCCGGACAGCAGCAGCTGCAGGCTGTCTGTCACTTTACAAGATTCAAGAGGAGATGAGAAGTTGGGATGGCAGCAGTCCGTGGACCTCTGCGTGGGGAAATATGTCCAGAGTAAATAAACGGCCCGATGCTGACAGGATGAGTGAAGCCAATGAGAGCGCATCTCTGAACAGGTCGGTGAGGCTGGATCTGTTCAGCAACCTGGAGGACATCGATGTGAGCGCGGATGGGAGTCCGATCCTCAGGTTCCTCATCTGCCTCGTCTACTCCGTGGTTTGCGCCGCGGGTCTGGTTGGCAACCTGCTGGTCCTGTTCTTCATCAGGGTGAGACAGGAGCGCAGGAAGTCCAGAGTCAACTTCTTTGTGCTCAACCTGGCAGTGACGGACCTGCAGTTCGTCCTCACGCTGCCCTTCTGGGCCGTGGACACCGTCATGGACTTCAGCTGGCCGTTCGGAGGCGCCATGTGTAAGATCATCCTGTCGGTCACCGTCATGAACATGTACGCCAGCGTCTTCTTCCTCACCGCCATGAGCGTGACGCGCTACTGGTCGCTGGCCTCGGCTCTGAACAACAGAACCGTGCGGAGGTCCTGCTCCGCTAAGTGGGTCTGCGCGCTGATTTGGACCGTGGCGACCCTGGCCACCGCGCCCACCATGATTTTCTCCACAGTCACCAACGTGACCGGAGAGAAACTGTGTCTCCTGCGCTTCCCGGGCGGCCAGTACTGGTTAGCGGTTTACCACATCCAGAAAATAGTGGTAGGGTTTATTCTACCCATGTCCATCGTCTCCATCAGCTACTTCATGCTGCTGCGCTTCATCCGCAAGCGGAGCATGAAAAGCAGCAACCCCAAGCGGAGGTCCCAGGTCACCAGGTCCATCACGATCGTCATGTTGTCCTTCTTCTTCTGCTGGATGCCGAACCACGCCGTCACTCTGTGGAGCGTCCTGGTCAAACTGAACTTTGTCAACTGGGACATCGCGTATTACATCGCCCACACCTATGTGTTCCCGATCACCGTGTGCCTGGCTCACACCAACAGCTGCCTGAACCCGATCATTTACTGCCTCATGAGGAAGGAGTTTAGGGACAAACTGCGGGATCTGGTCCGCAGATGATAGTGGGGTTTTAAAGGCACCTGGAGCGATTTAATGACATGCGTAATGCGATTGGCAAACAACCAAGGCGCACGGCTCTAAAGCGCAAAATCGCAGCCCATCCACCCCGCCTGTTGGCTTAAATATCGTCGCTCTATAGAAAAAGATTCTTCTGACTCATTCCAAGCTGCATGAATGTTAAACCATAAAGAAATTCTCGCTTTGCTTGGTAAATACGCGTCATGTTTAGTCCAGGCGCTGTGCGTAAATGCGCATCACAATCCTCTGCGTTTTTGTGCTTGTGTTTTAACTGGACCGATTACGTGTCCAGTAGCTTTCTGTGTTGATCTGTGAATGTTTTGATGGTAAGTGCATTAAAAGAAACCGGTGAAGCCATGTACAAAAGGATGCCAAACAGTGATTCTTGTAAATGGGCAGAAAAATACCTTATATGTGCTATTAGACTATAGGCAGCTTTGAGTAATAATATTATTGTCCAAATGTCTAATCAACAAAAAAATCAATATGAAACGGATCTGAGGGGCTCAGATAAGCACCGCATAAAAAAAAAGACTTAAAAGTAAGCACCACAGATCATCCACTACATGCAAAACATTCCCTCCTCTCCTCACCGCTCTATCAGGATTTGTCTGCCAGGATGAGCTTTGGACCGAACTGAATGTATAAGGATATAATTGGGTCGATTAGAAATATGAACACATCCTTTGTGTTTTTATGCTGCATTCAATGCTGCATAAAGAGCTTGCATTTGTCAGAAACTCTTGGATTATCCTAATAGACGCTGCATGAAACACATTATTTTACCTCACAGAGATTTTTTTGACTCCTTTAAATGAAAACAACTTCACTGACAAGAAAAAGCATCAAACTACTGATTGCTTTCCTTCAACTTGGATTGTTTGTTTTGTATGTTTGTCTCATCAAGTGTAAATGGTGTTTGTAAATTCATTTTCTATGTAATCTTATTTTATTAAACTGTCTGCATTTTTGGACCGGCCTTGTTTAAAAAATATATATAAAGACAGTTTTGTGCAGATGGTAAATAACTGATGACTTTTCAAAGACGGGAGTAATTAAGCCTGTGTAAAACAAATGTTTCTGAAATATGGCCATCTCTTAGAGCCATTGATGAACGAGTGTTCAATGGAAGTGCAGAGTCATGCTAAGGAGCTTATGTTCCTTAGTTTTACAAACTTAATTATGCTTTCACCAGGTTTTATAACTGAGCAAAAGTGGGGAAAATCTGTTTTTGTGTTTCAATTATTTTACCCCTAAAAATTAGGAATATTATAAATTTTAAACCCTGCTTTGTAGAAATTTTTATGGAGAAACAAGTAAGTGTTCGGGAGATCATAGAGTCGTCCATATTCTTTAGGAAGCATATTTCAGTCAGATTGGAGCGAAATGATCTGTAAGCAGATGTTTTCATGTCTGATTCTCTTTTGGATCTCTGTCTTCTTTCTTCCTTTTCATCTAACCCATAATTAAGCTTTAATCAAACCACTCCTTCGTAGCTCTGGCTGAATATTAACAGCCGCTAACATGTTGGACCGGCAACCTTCACATTAGTCTATAATCTCCTGCAGTCTCCAGCAGGTTCTATTCCAGGATCACTCTTGTCTCCGTCCATCTCCCCATGAACTCCTGCTTTGCTTAGTTTAACCTTCCCCACAGCATGATGCTACCAACCTCATGTTTCACCATGGTGGTTAACCATATTTGCATTTAGGCTTAAGATTTCCAGTCTCATCTGACTACATTTTCCTCAGCCTCTGCTTTTCCAGCCTTTAGATGAATTCTTTGCATTATCAGATGACTGATTGAATAGTGCAAGAAGGTCAAAGCTTCTGGTAGATTTTTTTAACCTAATCTTATTTTAAACAAATCCAAAACTTTCTCCCTAGTTACTAGTATTGTGTAAGACAACAAATAGATCTTCACAGATTTTCTTTTATATATATACAGAGCTCAGATTACACAGATGTTGTTGATGTGTGATTTCTGAAACCAACTGACTCCCCCAGATTTTAATTAGGACAGATTAGGGCCTGAAAACAAAAGCAGACCAAAGGCGGTTAATGCAAACTATATGCAATCCCAATAATGTTTGTTTGTTGTGATACCATAAAATATGAAAAGAGCAAAAAAAAAAAAAAAAAAAACGCAGCAATTATAAAATAATAGATATGAATTGTGAGACATAATCCCCAATCATCCAATTACAGTTTTAAATATAGCTAATTTGCAAAATAAGACCACAAATGAAGTCGACTAGGGGGAAGGGATCTGCTTGTGTAGAAAACCTCCTCCTGGACCTCACTTTTATGCTAAAATCCCACACCTTCCTGTCTTCCCATCCCAGTTTACAGAGTCTGCAATTCATCTGAAAATAAGCAATATCTTTTGTGTTTTTCTTTAAACAACAGCTGCCTTTTTTCCTTTACTAACGTCATAAATGTTTTCCCTTTCCTTACACCATTTACCACTGTCCTGTGAATCATTTCAACACAAAAGAGCTTCATACTTCAAACACGGAGGGGTTTTATGTCCACAGATAGCAAACAGACAACAAAGCAAACACATTTAGTTGAGAGCAGCCTGTCATAAAAAAATGCATCTAATTTCAATCTGAGCTAAATTTTAAGCACCAACCTTATTTTTCTCCTAAAAAAGAAACAACCACAGAAACATGGGGGGTGTCTACATAATGTGTGATGGATCAAAATTAAATTAATGTGAACAGAAGAGGAAGAAAAAAAGGGGAGCAGGGGGGTAGCTAAACCAAGAGAGAAAATGTCATTTAAAAAAAGATGCTGTTGAGGAAATGACAGAAGAATCTGGGGTTTATTACCTCAGATGGAAAACTGAACCTGAACTCATGATTTATGTCCAAAGTTTAAATATTTTGGCAGGCTTGTCCTTTCTTCTCACTCCTTCACTGAGAAGTACAAGTGTTGAATGGGTGAGAGTGAACAGCCGAGGGACCCTGTTATGTTCTCAACTGTAAAACTGATGAAAGTATAAAGACAGAGACGTCCCGTCACATTTTGAACCACATGGAGACTCTCTGCCTGGCAAATGCTCAGTGTTTCTACATGCTGCTCTTAGACACTGTCATTAGAATAAAAGCATACAGTAACTAGACCCAAGGAGTAAAAAAAATAAATTGACAGCCTACACACAGTCTTGTGGCAGTGGATGATCTTGATGCAGAGCAGTGAAAGCAGAAATCCGGAGGAGGGTGATAAATGTCCTCTAGGAAGCTTTCAGACCTGCGCTGAAGGTAAATGACTGGAAAGTTCATCTCAGGAGGCTCCATTGCAACAGTTGACCTCTGAGTGTTCAAGCCGCTGCCAGGTTTTCCTGTTCCAGCTCTCACTTCATGTATAGATTAAACTAAATTATAAGTTTCTAGTTTTTATTTTGTGCTTTTCTGTCTTTATTATGATTTAAATACCTCATAAATACCCCTGCTGACATCATGTAGGGCAAAAGGAAGCTGAGCAGTTTCCCTGTACATTTTTTTCCTTTTTTTTTATTTTTTATATTCTTATCTTTTTATTCATATTTCTTCCCCAAATGTATTCCCTTGTAACCATTACAGCTCCAATCAGTTTAGCTTGAGAACAATCTGTGGATTTCAGGAGGATATGGTGACCCAAAACATAAACAAAAGATTGTAAAAACGACCAGAGCCGAGGATAATGGAACATCTTTCATTATTGAAAATCCTGCATGACTATTTTGATAAGTTGTTATGAAAACACATAGTCTGGTTTTTGCGTTTCATGAAGATTATTTTTTCAATTTCCAACTTTTTTTTTTTTCCTCGCTGAACTATTACATCACATACTATTCTAATGGAAGACATTTACTGGGCTGGTGCATTTATTGATTAAAGCACATCAAGCACCATGCAGTTGTTTGAGTAAGCTTAACCTTTGGTGACAAATCAGGTTGCAGCGTTTGCTTATTTTACAACAGGAAAATGTTGCCGGTAACCAACCAGATGGACAAAGGGAAACAGTGATTAACGCAGACAATCATTATTATCAATATTTGTCGTTCAGATTCAAACTTCTTTAAACTTGTAAAACAGCCTTTTTCTACTGAATATTAACCCATTCAGAAATTATAAATGAATTCTGACCAATCCCAGCTGATCAGCTCCATTCTTATTGCTCTGGTAATGCTATCAACCTAAATGCTCCAAAAATGTCAAATTACTGTCATATCTAGCAAACGTTTCAATATATCATTACATTTGCTGAAATCCTGTAGATAAACGGATCCAAAGTGATGCACATCTGATGGTGTAAAAACACACCAGTACCTGGTATTTCTATAAAAGATCTGCAACTCTGCTGTTGTGTTTCATCATTTTTTTCCCTCCTGTTTCCTGAGGAGCTGCAGAGTTTTTAACTTAAAAAATAACAAACAATCGTCTCATTCAAACGGCTGAATAAAGTGGTGAAGGCGATGAAGCATCAGGTATTTTCTCTGCAGGAAGAAACTATTATGTGGAGCCATTGGTCCCTGACAAAACGTTGCATCTTCAGGATTTTTTCATTTAATTATAAAAAGATTGTTGTCTTTCTGGTGTGGAGTCTGAATATGGAGTTGTTATGTACTATAACTGCATCTCTGTCTTTGCCTCATATTCTGCATTTCAGCTCATTTGTACACATCCTGTATTGCTGTACATATGTCCAGTATTTTCTGGAAAGAAATTAAAATCAATAAAGGAGGAAGTATATAAGTATATGAACACCCTGCTATTTTGCAAGTTCCCCCACTTAGAAATCATGGAGGGGACTGAAATTGTCATCATAGTTGCATGTCCACTGGGAGAAACAAAAAAAAAATAATCGAGAAATCACAAGTATATATTTGGGCACCTGTTTATCAGCTAGAATTCTAACCCTCATAGACCTGTTATTCTGCCTTCAAAATGTCCACCTCCAATCTATTTATTATCCTAAATTATATTCACCTGTTTGAGGTCGTTAGCTGCATAAAGACACCTGTCCGTGCCATTCAATCAGTAAGAATCCAACTTCTAACATGACCAAGACCAAAGAGCTGTTTAAAGTCACTAGAGACTAAATTATACACCTCCACAAGGCTGGAAAGGTCTACGGGGAAATTGTCAAGCAGTTTGGTGAAAAAAGATCCACTGTTGAAACAATCATTAGAAAATGGAAGAAGCTAAACATGACTGTCAATCTCTCTTGGACTGGGGCTTCATGCAAGATGTCACCTCGCACAGTAGGGTCTCAATGATCCCAAGAAAGGGGAGAAATCAGCCCAGAACTACAAAGGAGGATCTGGCCTGAAAAATGCTGGGACCACCGTTTCCAAGGTTACTGTTAGTAATACACTAAGACCTAATGGTTTGAAATCATGTATGGCACAGAGGGTTCCGCTGCTTAAAACAGCACATGTTAAGGCCGATCTAAAGTTTTTCATTAACCATTTGGATGATCCAGAGGAGTCATGGGAGAAAGTCATGAGGTCAGATGAGACCAAATTAGAACTTCTTGGTCATAATTCCACTAACGGTGTTTGGAGGAAGGAGAATGATGAGTACCATCCCAAGAACACCATCCCTACTGTGAAGCATGGGGGTGGTAGAGTCATGCTTTGGGGGTGTTCTTCTTCACAGGGGACAGGGCGACTGCACCGTATTAAGGAGAGGATTACCGGGGCCATGTATTGGGGAACAACCTCCTTCCCTCAGTTAGAGTATTGAAGATGGGTCGAGGCTGGGTCTTCCAACATGGCAATGATTCAGAGTACGCAGCCAGGATAACCAAGGAGTGGCTCTGTAAGAGTCCATATTGAGGTTCTAGTGTGGCCTATCCAGTCTCCAGACCTAAAGCCAATAGAGACTCTTTGGAAGGAGCTCAAACTCCATGTTTCTCAGTGACAGCCCAGAAACCTGACTGATCTAGAGAAGATCTGTGTGGAGGAGTGGGCCAAAATCCCTCCTGAAGTGTGTGAAAACCCTACAGGAAACATTTGACCTCTGTAATAGAAAACAAAGTCTACTGTACCAAATGTTATTCATTGATTTTTTCAGGTGTTCAAATACTTATTTGCAGCTTTATCATACATCTAAATAGTAAAATATTTATTTTCCTCACTACATATTTATCAACCTGCAAAATACACTTTATGAACAGCTAAAATATATGTAATGAATTGATTAAAAAGAAAAAAATAAGGGTAGGATTCATTTAAGTGTAGTCTGAGGCTGCTTTCATCCTGTCAGGACCTAAATCCACAACCACGCCGGATTAATAAGGCTCAGCAGGCAATTTGGCCTTCTAAAGCCGACATCAGAAAGCACAGTGTGTCTGTTTTATTATTTTGAAACCGATTGCAGGTCTACGTTGTATGTAGGTGGTGTAAACAAACGCATAGGGGCAGCTTGAAACTTAATGAGCTCCTCTGTGTTGTAAGCTCCATACAGTCATAAGGTGGAACGACCTTTAAAGAGCATCATAGTCATGTTTTATTCTGTTGGAAGTTAAAATGGGGAACGGTGGGCAAAAAAAAAAGTA